CTTATGATACTTATCATTATACGTATTTCAATGAAATCCTCCTCTCCATCTTCGGCATCGTGGCTGTGTGTGCGGGGCTGCCGTGTCTGATTTGGGCTTTTTATTCTGTGCACCTTCAGAGAAAAGCAAGTGGTCGGATCTCAGCCTTCATCATCCTCCTCCTCCTAAATGACCTGCTGCAACTGCTCCTCTATCCATACATAGTGTCACAACTACTGTCTTTTGTTCATTCTTTTCACCCCCACTTGATAACGATTGTATCTGCTTGTGTGAAGACCACTGGCCTTCACATGCAGGCGCTTGTGGCTCTGGAGGCGGCTCTGACTGTGAAATATCCAAGGATTTCTGCTCGCATGTGCTCATGGCCTTGCTACATCATGATCTCCATCATCATACTTCTTATTCCTGTCATATTTTTTTTTGGAATAGTTTTAGGCCATTCATCTGGTGAAGTGTATCTGTATCTCACATTTGGCTCATTTCTGCTACCTGCATGTTCATTGGTTGCCACAGGTATAATCATCTACAAAGCCCCGCTCACCTACACTTACTCCAGACCAGGTGCAGCGGTGTTTGCTGTATCTTTGGTTACATTACTTGTGCTCTATTTACCAAGTGTGGTGCTCCTCATTGTGAAGCTCCACTATCACATATCAGATTCTTGGATGACAATGACGTTATGTTTGGTAAGCTTTACAGTGATTTCCGAGCCTCTGCTGTGTGTGCTGGTCTGCAGACAGAATCTCAGTGCTCAGACAAAACAGGCACCCATAGAGCTCAACTCTGAGCACTCTGAATTCGACATCTGGCAGGAGTAATTTGAAACATTTAAGAAAAGGAAAAAAAAATGTAGTATCATAACATTATTTGTAGTCAATTTAATTTCAAATGGCTTGACAGCTTGATTATTATTGTTTGGTCTTCTTATACTGTTCAAACGGTGCTTTCTATTGCCTTACACCTTACCCAAGCCCTTAACCCAACTCTCATTGGAATCTCTGTGCATGTCTACTTTCTGAAAAGAAAAAAACAACATCAAAAAGATACTTAAGCTCTGATTTAGAAGCATTTAAAAAAAACAGGATATGTACAATGTCCTCATAAGTCTGCAGATCTATGTGCCCTCCAGAAACTTGCGTTCTGTGAATGAACGTCGCCTCATGGTTCCATCCCAAAGAGGGAAGAAATCACTTTCGCTCACGCTCACGCTCAATCTGCCCAGTTGGTGGAATGAACTCCCTAACTGCATCAGAACAGCAGAGTCACTCGCTACTTTCAAGAAACTACTAAAAACCCAACTATTTAGTCTCCACTTCACTTCCTAATCTGCAATTGCCTCTCTGAATATCACACTAACTGTACAAAAAAAAAAAAAAAACTAATACTACTAATACTTCCCTTCTTAGACTTTAAAGACCTGAAACTTGCCTACAGCACTTATTCATTGTTGCTCTTGGTTGTGTAAATTGCTTCCTTGTCCTCATTTGTAAGTCGCTTTGGATAAAAGCGTCTGCTAAATGACTAAATGTAAATGTAAGTCAATTTCTCTTTGTGTAAACACACTTATAAAATAAGTCAGGTTTCCGTGTTTTATGTCAGTTTCATTTCCAGTTTGATTTAATTAGATCTGACATGTTTAATTAATGACTTTTATCGAATACAAATCTGTAACCTACACATATACAAAATGACTCAATGATTAACAGATTGATTGATGTTTACAATAAACAATAAATGTTATTATTTCTTCTCGAGCCTGTGTGTGATTTGGATTTGCTGATGTCATTACAGTGTATTAAAAACTGCTTCTGCTTTTTAATTTTTTCGGTGGAGGAAGTTAAAAATATCCGACTTCCTGTTGGGTTTGAGATTTCGCTCCAAGAGACTTTTTTTTTGTAGGAATTGGCACATTTGATGTGTGTGCCAATTTTCGTGTGTGTGCGTGAAACATAGCTCTGGGGCTAGTCCGTCTGATGTGCATAGTTGACGCTGTCAAGTCATTTTGCCACACTCACTTCCAATACATATAACAAATGTAAATTTTTGTCACTGCTGGGGTGTGTGCAAAGTTTCATGAGTTTTCGGGCATGTTTAGACCCTCAAAATTGTGATTTATTCTGAAAAAGAAGAAGAAACGGAGCAATTCCAAATTGACCCTTCGCTAAGCCACACCCAAGAAACTCAGCAACCGTAGCTTTGCGCAAGATTCTGACAAGCTTTCGAGCAAGGGAAACAGGCCAAAGTGTTGTGCATATGGATTGCGCAAATCTGATACCCAATATCCTAAAATTTTAAACAGGGTGGTGGAATTTTTTCCCTTTTCAAAACCTAAAACCCAAGAGGAGAAAAAACCAACAAAAGTTGGTTTTGTTTCGATATTTCTGACACATTCAATGATAGACTAATGGCAATTACTGACACACCTCTTACCCTAAAGGCTGATTTATACTTCTGCGTCAAGCGCATGCGCATGCTACGGCACTGACGCATAGCCCTACTCCGTGGCCGTTGGCGTCGCTAAAGCGCACCTCACAAAAAATTGTAACTACACGTAGCGCAAGCTCTGTGATTGGTCGGCTTGGTATCGCTGATGAGTCTGGGCGGGACCGAGAGCCGCGGGAGCCCAATGAAGTGATTGTTTACAAGTGTGGAGTCCCATGAAGGAGCTCCTGATGGAAAGTTTTGTTCTGTGTTTACCTCATAGTTAAAGTTGTTGCACGTCCGCTGGTTCCTGCCTCAAAATGAGCGAGTTTGAGCCACTTGTACATTCAGGAAGTGTTCAGGAAAAGCAAAACAGCAGCGAAGAAACTCGACACAGATACATAAACACCTCACTGCCAGCTAGCGTTTTGGAAGTGTTAATGCTGACCAACAGAGACAGCGCGCAGAAGTATAAATGGACAGCTACGCGCGATGCATGCACCATTGGTTACGTCGGTCACTTGACACAAAAGTATAAACCAGGCTTAACCAGATCTTAACTGTGTTTCCTACAGAAATACAAAGCAGGTTATGTTTCACAGCAGTCTTTTTCTTTTTTTCCGCTCGATATTGTGAGCACTGCTCCGTTTAAGCCCTCGCCATAGTAGTCATTTTCCATCAGCTTCAAGCTACGAATATTTGAAATAACATATCAACAGAACAAAACCGAGATACGATCACAATCTGAGCACATGCGATCAATATACTTCACCCGCAGCTGTTTTTCAATCATTTATAACCCTCATGTCCATGTCAGAGCCACAATTTACCAATGTTTTCATCTGTGTTTTGGAGATTTTGTCATTGGTGATGACGTTATAGTGGGTTAGTGTCTGCTTTTGTATTTGGTGTCTTAATAATATTTGCTGGTAGGCAAAATCTATTTGTTCACTTCTGCTATTTATACTTTGACTTGCATTTCAATTGATTTATTTCTTCCACTAACTGCTAATTAGAATAGAAACTGGATGAAGAGCAAACAAACGTACAGATAGACAGTGATAGGTGTACATTGTTCTGAGTAAATGATGCTGATATTCAACACAAATCCATCAGTTTCCCCTCTCTGGCTGCTCTTTCTATGAATGAATGATGTAGAAGCTCTGCCCATGCGTGTTTCCTCGTTGGTTTGTAACGCTCTATTTCATTGCACAACAATTAATCTATCAGGCTTTTTGGCTAAAAAAAAAAGGGAAATCAATGGTTTAATTAGTCATTATTAGATTATTTGTAAATTTCACCAATCCTGCTGTGCATAAACTAAGCAGTTGAATGGTTAGCATATGAGGCGGCTAGGCTAACCTAGCTTAAATTTTGATTCAGTTATTTCCTGATCAGTTGCGTATTAAGTCGTGAATATACTCATGTAATGCATACTGCAGTGCTTTTTTGCGAAGCTAATAATATGCCAAAAACAATCAGAATTTAAATTGTTAACAACTCTAAGTTAGTAAAACTAATTATTATATTCCATTTAAAAACGGTTTTTAATTTCTTAATTAAAAGATAAGATTACAGTATAGGTCAGAATCAGCTCTTTATCCGTCAAAACACCGAAAGCTTAAGTAAGTTTGATTAACCAATGAGATGTAATTTAATTAATTATATGAATTTGGTTCACTGAAGCATGCATGTTTATTACTCAAAAAACTGAAAATAGCTGACACCTGGTAGTCGATTTGCTGAAGAATGGTCTCCTCCAGAGCCAAACAAACACCAGCTAATACACGCAGCTTTTCTGATTGGCCAAAATGCTTAGTTTGACTTTTCGGTGATCGTCTACTCTGAATGTCTCAATCTGAATGGTTTTGAATTTCAGAATATTGAACTTGTTGTTCTTAGTTTCTTCATCTTGATAATTGGCAACTGTATTTTTACAAACCCAATATCAGTTTGAAAACACGTCTATAAACATCTGACTTAAAAAAATTCAGTTGTCTTCAATTTCAGATTTTTAATAATCAAGTTAGGAAATTCAAATTCCCCCAAAAAATGTAATGCCATTAATTGTTCAGTTTTAATAACTTAGAGCTGTCAATCATTTAAATAACATTATTTACACTTACATTTTGCAATGAAAACTGGACGTAAGGCTACAATCAATGCACTAGCACAAATGTTTCCAAATATATTTTGAGCTCACATAGATCAAATTTAGTGCACATATGCTATCAAAAAGGTAGCAATTTGAGCCCTGCAATTTCAAACTTAAGCAGGTTCAAGTACTTTGTCCAAAATCCAAAGAGATTTCTAACCTTGAAAACCCTACATTAAAGGGTCACGAAACACCAAAACACATGTTTTGAGCTGTTGACAGTTGTATATGTGTCCCACACAGCTAAAAACACTATTAGGACACCTATATTTTACTAAAAAGTGTAAATTGGTTGTTTTTGCGTTATTTCAAGCAAATTCGTACTTCCTGTTTGAAACGAATTTTTGAAGCTGCGTCACGGTCATGACATAATAGCGTGTATTCCAGCGTGTAGACTGGGCGTCTGTGCCAGAGTGTGTCTTATTACGTCTTACAGTGTGATGCATTAATGCATGAGTAAAGCTTGGTTCAAACCAATCAGCGCGCTCTATTGTGCAACTTCATTAATATTCATTACTGTCAGCGTGTTTTTACGCGACATAGACGCCACGTTGTGTTGGCAAAACAAGTGTGAAGTGTTGCTTTTATAGTTTGCTGCCGTTAAGTTTTGTTTTCATTTTCTCTCTGTGAGAGCTCATCCGGATCACGTGTGGATTAACAGTGTACGCGACGCTCGACAACAATAACTTACGTGTCTAAGGAGGATTATTGTTTACCTGAGAGCTGTTCTCATCTGCAAACGCTGAGATCCGCTTGTAGTCTTCTCTTCATAAAGACGCGGCTCTAGTTGCTGGTGATTGTCCTGTCTCTACAGATTTGGTAAGTGAGCGGCCAGTGCTCTTTGTTTATTCAGTTTGTTTGTATCGAACCAAATTAACTATTGCACCGAGTGGAAACATGTTAGCACCACAACCAAACTTTAACCTCGTGTTGGGTTTTTACCGCATTTAGTGACCGGAATAACACACGCGGCTTTCTGACGCTACCTGTCGTGTGCATCTAAGTTTCCGGGAAATGCTGAGGTTTTTTTTTTCTCTCATTCGCTGTGCGGTATCAAACATTGCATGAAAAATACACGATTAGAGCAGATCCTCGAATCAAATATCTCATTTGTTGGGAGGGACATGAATGAATTCCCTGAATGAAAGAGCCAAACTGCAGTTAAAGTCTAACATTTAATAATTTGGCAAATAATTCGACTACAGATGTCCATGTAGGTTAAACACCATCACTTTCTTCTGTGTGTGAGTATTTTGACTGAAACTCGCGCGTGCCCAAATAGAAACTCCCACACCATCCCACTTTAGTTCCTCCGACACTCCCCCCTAAACAGAGCTGGACACGCCCACTTTTCTGACTTTTCCAAAGTAGAGGTGTGAAAACACCCTGCTGAAACGAGGGGGTTTCATGGCCCTTTAAAAATCAAGCATTTTCCAGAACCCTGTTTACTGCCCCCCTGTGGTAAGATATTCTATCAGAACTGTTTGATGTTTATATAATAATTACCTACATTTTACCGAAGTACACACAAGTTATTAGAATGAGCATTTTATTCACATTTTTACATCACTTTCAGTCCTCGGCTTTGTGCTCAGTTTATGAGGCACAGAAACATTCCTCCAGTCTCAGCTTCATATATAAACTGCTACAAAAACAGTGTCAAGTACATTATAAAAGATTCCTTTACTCCCATTTATAAAGATGGCACAACAAATAAATACCTCATAAACAGAAAGAATAGGTTATGTAGTTAAATTAATCCCACACTCAAACATTCATTGGTGTCATTTCCCTGTATGTGCAACAAAACCCCCAGAAAAAAGAACCAGAAACTACGATCACATAACCGTACAGTGCTTCAACTTACTCTCCAACAATGTGTCCAGTATTGCTGGTTCTATTATGCCTCAAAAATCCTAGGATTCCCACCATGGCTGCTCATTTCCTCATTAGGCCGTGAAGCAATCCGTGGAGTTGTGTGTGGAAGCGTAGCGCCCATCACAGCCTGGCACAGTGTGTATTCTTGGTGCCATGTGTTACGAGAATGGCAGATTGAGTCCAGTCTCAGAGCAGTTCTGCCTCATCCTCTTCATCCTCAGAGCCGGACGGACCCTGACGGACCTCCTCATACCATTTATTAGTGAGCGTCTTCATCTGGATCCGTCCATGCAGCAGGTCCTTAAAGAAACAGATCTCAGAGTCAGCTGCTCGCAGTATTTAAAGGAACACTAGACTTTTGTTTAAAACAGCTGTAATAGAGTTACACAGTTGAGTTTCACCATTTATAAATCCATTTAGTTGATCTCCAGGTTGGGAGCACTAGCTTAGCTTAGCATAGATCATTAAATCGGATTAGACCATTAGCATTTCCCTCAAACAGTTTCAATAGCTTTCCTATTTAAAGCTTGACTCTTCTACAAAGCATATGCAGGATCTGTAAGTCTCTTTCCGTATGATGGAGTATGTAAGTTATACAGTTAAGTAAAGTTTAACAGAGCAAGGAAATTTTCACAGTATGTCTGATAATATGGAAGGGCATCTGCTGCGTAAAACATGTTCTGGATAAGTTGGCGGTTCATTCCGCTGTGGCGACCCTGGATTAAAAAAGGAACTAAGCCGAAAAGAAAACAAAACGAAATTACCGGTTAATTGTATTTTATTAACCTCTATCCTAAACCCAACTACCACGGTAATGTAAAAACTGTAATTATAATGAGAATTATTTATATTAGTCATTAAATCAGCCATTAAATTGTATTTAAACCACTAAACCCAACTATTAATATTACAAATATTAATTATTGTTGTACAGTGTCACAAAAACTAAGCTATATTGATGTGATTATCCGCAGCTGTATCCCATCTAGACTGTATCCATGTACACTTGATGGCTAAAGAATACCCATAATGCACTGTGAGAGCTTGTGCGCCGAATGAATTTCCACGTGTGGCCACAAGATGGCGTCCATACAGCGAAATCTTATTGGTGTACATTTGGGGACTACAAAAAAAAAACATTCGCTCTAGTGAGATCACAAACGCTTCAGGTTATGTGCATTCTCCATGCGCACACAGGCAGCGCATCGAAGTTTATGAGCAGTCTAACCTCTTGTGTGAGTCTGCGGGTGAAGAAGGGGTTCAGGTACTTGGCATCAAGCCACAGGAAGCCCTTCAGATCCTGCCTCTGGTAAATCTGAGCTTCATACTCTTCCTCGGTCAGCTCAGACAAATGCTCAGATTCAATGGCGTTACCCTGAAAGACACAGGAAGATGCTTATTAGATTGTACAAAAACCCTTAGAGGTAGGGATGTAACGGTATCAGAATTTCACGGTACGGTAATACCTCGGTATGAATGTCACGGTACGGTATTTATTGAATCATTTACAGGAAAAAACAAAAAAACCCTCTCATTTGGGACTGAGGTTTCTGGGACAAGAGAGATATGACTTGGCCCAGGTTGACAGCAGTGGGTAACGTTGTGCATTGTCTTTCCCCCACTTGAGAGGACAAACCATGGGTAAGATAGAGATCTCATGTCTGCATCAATCTGAACAGTGTGCTGATAACACCGCTATTCAGTACGCGCGCGACAACACAGCTGATAAGAACTCGCGCGACAACACCGCTATTCAGTACGCGCGCGGCGACAACACCCGCTTTAGAGTTTTACAGCTCTTTTTCATCCCCGCTTCCAGCAGCACACTCCATTTCCGCATTACTGGATCTGTAGCGACAACAGACCGCAAGGGATGATGGTCAAGCATGGGCTGATGGGAATTGTAGTTTTCGCTACCTCCCGTTCGCTTCATTCGCCTGAGCAAATTTTCTCAGAAGACCTATAGTTTTACCGAGTCATGCGACTTCGGTAATATCGAAAAAAATGTATATTGCGGTATTTACAATACCATTACATCCCTACTTAGAGGTCCTATGAAATTAAAATAGTTCTTTAGATGTTAGTATTGTTAGTTTTTAAGATATCTATAAGCTAATTTGCCCCAAACAGCGATGAAATGATACCTGATTAATAAGGAGAAGAAGCTAAAAAGAAAATGAATGAATGAATGACAGCTGGGCAGATTCCTGGAAAATAAACCAAACTCCGACCAACTGCGTCCCAAATGGCACACTATACACTATGCACTCATGCACTATGTACTTATGCACTTACACACTCAACAGTAGTATATGTATGTAGTGTCGTCCCAAATGGAGCACTAATGTTTTTTTACTAAGCGGAAATTCAAACCGTTTCTCTGATGACGTTTGACGGTTGCCAAATCAGTGAAATAAACGACCGAATTATCAAATAATACCTGCCGTAAGTATTGCCACATTCACCATCGGGAGGCGCTATAATCACTCTCGTAGGAGAATTTTGCTTTCACAATCCAAAATAAATAAAGTTATCCAACATGTGCGTCCGATAGCTCCGCCCCTTCCGCTACGTAAGCAAACCTGCGGTTGTTGAGTGCGTGAAGTGTTCATCATCACACACTTCATTTACCGGCTGAATGAGTGCATCATCCGGGTAATTAAAGTGCTCTTATTATTTTTAGAGTTTTCAGTTTGAACACACTACTTACACTATTTAAACTACAAAATGGCGTAGAATAGTGCATAAGCATGCAATTTGGGACGCAGCTCAAGTTTACTCGCACATAACTTGTTTGAAATATTCTGGTCCTTTTAGGGTGCTTTCACACCTGCCTTATTTAGTTTTGTTGAACCACACTAGAGTTCGTTTTCCCTCTTGGTGCGGTTCATTTGGGAAGGTGTCAATGTTGCACTTGTATTCGAGTGTGCATCAAAAGCAGACCAAAAAAAGTGTACAAGACCTCCCTGGAGTGGTTCAATTTTGGTAAGAATATGATCCGAACTAAAACAGACCCAACTGCAAAAAGTACTGCGGCTTTTTGGACTAATCCAGCTGCTGTAGTCCGATGCTCTGTGCAATAAGGAATGTGGAGGTGATATATTTGCTGACAGCACTTTACCAACAATTTTAAACAGAGAGAGAGAGAGGGAAAAACTTTACCTGATGGATCGTTGATAATATTTCCGCAAGATGACCATGTCGCAGTTTAGCTAAATTAATTCACGGCACCTCTTGAAGTGACTTGCGATGCACCTTCGCCATTTGCGATGCATTAAAACATTGTTTTTAAGCCACAGCCATGCTTCATTCTCGAAATGTATAGTTTGTCTTAAGTGATGTATACAAACTGTATAGTAAACTATAAGCAGGGATACCATCAGCTAGTGCAGTTGTTCCTTCATAAAGTCCAGTCCAGAGGTAAAATTCCGTATTGACTCCTAAAAGGGGTCTGGGTTCGTTTCTATGAGTTTATGACCCCTGTTGCCACCTTACACTGCAAAAAATGCTTTTCTTACTTAGATTTTTTGTCTTGTTTCTAGTCCAAATATCTAAAAATTCCTAAATCAAGAAGAATTTTCTAAACAAGCAAAACATGGCCTTGTTTTGAGAAATAATATGCCAATATTAAGTCAGTTTTTCCTTAAAAAAAGCAAAATAATCTGCCAATGAGGTAAGCAAATTAATCTTGTTTTTTCTTTTGACGTAAGATTAATTTGCTTACCCCATTGGCAGATTATTTTGCTTGTTTTAAAAAAAACTGACTTAAAATTGGCATATTATTTCTCAAAACAAGGCAATATGTTTTGCTTGTCTAAAAAAATGCTTCTTGATATAAGAAATTTTAGATATTTAGACTAGAAACAAGACAAAAAATCTAAGCAAGAAAAGCATTTTTTGCAGTGCACCTATCAAGATGTTGGCCAGAGCTAGAGTTGCACCATCTTCAAAAACATTCCAAAGCTCCCCCCTTGTTTTCTGGACTGCCATATATTTTTTTTTCAGAGGTTTTTAAAAAGGAGGTTAAGCCAAATCATTGCCTAGCAATTCTTGGATATTCTGAGGAATTAAACACTCCTCCAAGTTTTCAACTACCACCTTTATTGATGGGCATGATTCTTGCAAAAAAAAGCTCTTTTATTTAACTGGACATCCTCAGACTCCCCATGTTTTAAAGTTTGGTTGGGTGAATTGTTTCATGTCATACAACTGGAGAAAATACGTTCCCTGGAGCCCAAATCTCATCTGCAATTTCAAACCCTTTTTAGATTACCTCAAAAGTGAATAGTGTAGTACTACTCTCACAGTAATGACTGAATCTACTCTGTTGTTAATTCATGATCTTGTGTTGACTGTTTAAAGCAATGTAATATATAGTTTATAGTTATAGTAATATATATAAAGAAGTAGTAGTTATAATTCCCTTTCCAAATAAATAAATAATTACAGAGTCTGCTCAGACGAGTGGGCGAAGTCATTGTTATATTTATTTAGTCAAATTAACTATAAGTTAATTAGGAATATTAATAATTAATAATAACTTGTTATTATTAGTCATTAATATTCCCAAACTGAGCTAATAATTTCGCTACAATAGTCAAAATCGACATTTTGTGTCTGCCGGTTTGTTTACTTGCGGGAGTTCCATTGGCATTTCCAGCACGGGAATTCTGACCAATCGAAAAGCAGTTTAGGAAATACGTTCAACAACCAATGAGAGATGTGGATTTTGTCAGATGACTGCATTTTGGTTCTTTTTAACTGGTCTGGACCAAAGCAATCAGTGTGGTGTGAAAACGACCCAAAGACGGCAGAAAATGCTACAATGTATCATTTGTTGCCCTTGATCCAGACCAAATGAACCAAACCACAGATGTTAAAGCACCCTTAGAAGCTTTGCCATGTGAAACCAAACTGCGCCAAGAACAAAAAGCAGCATTGTAACTCTTTTAAACCCTGTTCCAGAACAAAACGATCAATCTATAGGTGTAAAAGCACCCTTGAAATCAAGTCAGTAATCGAGTACTTTTTGAAAAGTGCAGTTGTCTCACCATTTTCTCAGTTTTGCTCAAGTTGATGTCTTTTTTGCTCTTGCGCCGTGATTGGCTCTCCTCAATGTCCATTATGCGGATGAGTGGCATGGTGCCGCCCCCCATCAGCAGGATGGTGAAGAGGACAATGACGATGGTGGTGGTGCCGATCAGCTGCCGCTTCTCGATGGGCTCCAGACCCAGATGGAGACTGAGGGCGTAAGGGATCGCACCACGCAGACCTGAGATCAGCAGCACATTTATACATCATGAACTCACTATCATTTTAGGACCACATGGGGTACTTACATATTTTAGAAACTAATATTGTTTATTGTAAACCTATTGAATTAACTCAATAATATATATATATATATATATATATATATATATATATATATATATATATATATATCAAGTACAGTTGAAGTCAGAATTATTAGTCCTCTAGAATTATTAGCCCTCTGTACATGTAACTGAAAAAAGATTGGGCGACGCAGTGGCCCAGTAGGTAGTGCTTTCGCCTCACAGCAAGAAGGTCGCCAGTTCGAGCCTTGGCTGGGTCAGTTGGCGTTTCTGTGGGGAGTTTGCATGTTCTCCATGCGTTCGTGTGGATTTCCTCCGGGTGCTCCGGTTTCCCCCACAGTCCAAAGACATGCGGTACAGGTGAATTGGGTAGGCTAAATTGACGTAGTGTATGAGTGTGAGTGAGTGTGTATGTATGGATGTTTTCCAGAGATGGGTTGCGGCTGGAAGGGCCTCCGCTGTGGGGCGACAGCACTACCTACTGCGCAACTGTGTCGCCCCAATGTATTCCTTCTTGTATCATCAATTTGGTTTCCAATGTTCTTCAAATATTTTTATTGTGCTTAACAGAAAAATGATGCCCAAAAATATGACAGAATATTGTATTAAAATGTAAATGTTTAAAGAATAAAAACAAAAGTAGAAGTTACTGGAGTTCAAATGATGAAACTGACAAGAGAAGGTAACTTTACTTCAAGCCACGAAGAAATTGGAATTCATCATCCTCTTACCACTGAACCACATGATGAACATCATCTTGGGGGTGATTTTATGGTCTCTGAAGAAGTTGAGCAGAAAGGAGAGCGGAAAGATATTCACAGCTCGACCAACAAGAACCAGAACCTGTGACAGGAAAACACGTCAGCACAAACTTTGCACAATAACAAGAAACTAATGTGTGTTTGTTTGTGTTTGACGCCATGCTAGCTTTTATGGCTTTTTTCATGGTGAGAAAAATTAAATACTTAATATATTTTATTATTATTAAATAATAAGTCAAATTATTCACCCTGGTGTGAAATTTAAATTCTTTTTCAAATATTCTTAATTGTTACTTAATGGAGGGATTTATTTTCAACACATTTTTCAACATTATTTTACTAAAAAATTCTAACTTTTCGAATAACCCCCCTTTAATTTTTTTTATTTTTTAAATATTTCCCAAATGATTTTTAACAGAGCAAGGAAACTTTCACAGTATGTCTGATAATGTTTTTTCTTCTGGAGAAAGTCTTATTTGTTTTATTTCGGCAATAATAAAAGCACTTTTTTAATTTTTAAAAAGCCATTTTAAGGACAAAATGATTAGCCCCTTTAAGCTATACATTTTTCAATAGTCAACTGGACAAACCATCGCTATACAATAACTTGCCTAATTACCCTAACCAGCCTAGCTAACCTAATTAACCTAGTTAAGCCTTAAAATGTCACTTTAAGCTGTATAGAAGTGTCTTGATAAATATCCAGTCAAATATTATTTACTGTCATCATGGCAAAGATAAAATAAATCAGTTATTAGAAATGAGTTATTAAAACTATAATGTCTAGAAATGTGTTGAATAAATCTCTCCATTAAACAGAAATTGGGCGTCTATATAAATTGGGCGTGTATATATAAATAAAAATAAAAATAAACATTATTATTAATTCAGGGGGGCTAATAACTCTGACTTCAACTGTACACACACACACACGTACACGTTTAGTTGATCATTTGGTATCAGAAGTGGCTTATATGAAAGGCAAAGGCCTCCAGATTACATAATAAAATATGATCATGCCTTGAATTTCAATGATTGAATTAGAACAGAACATTTGAGTATTAAAAATCTTTCCAACATTAGGGCAAATTTTAAGTTAATTTATTAGAGTTAATTTATTAATTCATTTATTAGAGTTAATTTCTTGTTTGCAGATCCCATTTTTTTTGCCATTTGTTATTAATGTTTGAACAAATGATAAGTTTCAAGCCCCAAGGAGATATTAGACAAATCTTGGGGTCTGCTTTTTTCTTATTCAGCAGAGTGCAGCTTCACAGTTAACTAATGAACAACATTAACTGTAAAAAATACTTACTTTCTTTCTTGTTTCTAGTCTAAATATCTAAAAGCTCCTAAATGAAAAAATCTTTATCCTTACGCTGCAGATGGTCTGCTGCAGAGCACATTTTTCCATCCTTAAAATAGCAAAAGTGGACTTGGAAATGGCCTTAATGCTTTTGTGCCATGCGCTTTAGACTTTGCGCCTAGATAGTTAAAATAGAGCCCTTAAACTCCAGAGTGTACGTGTTTATTCCTATTTATGCACTGTGTCATATCACTCCGCCCCTCCAGTAATTTTCCTGCAGTGAAAGGACGTGAATACGCTTTAATGAAGAAGATTGAGATTAATTCCTGGCTGCGTACTTTACATACATTTAATAAAACATTGTCTTGTTTTAAGAAATCAAAATTCCCTAAAACAAGCAAAATAATCTGATTTCAAAGACAAACAAGACTGTTTTGCTTACTCCATCGACAGATTATTTAGCTTGTTTTAAGGAAAAGCTCACTTTATCAGATGTTGAAGCTCTGTGGTGGGATAAATGCATGACGATACGTACTATACACCAGATGACAAAGGACAGCTCGAACTTGTGAGGGAAACTGAAGATAGACAGCCCCAGGAAGGCAAACACGCAGGTTTCTGCAGAATCAAAAGAGGGTGAAGTTAACAATGATCTCCATATGAAGCATGTGAGAGCGGTGTAACGTCACTGACCACACATGAAGGCTACGGTGCGCAGAGTCTGCTGCATGAGGATCTGGGTGACCGGAGACAAGTTATGATGAGTGTAATGGGACATCACAATACCCGAGAACAGGATGGCCATGATACCTGCAGGAAGACACATCAGTAAAAATCTCAGTTAAACAGAAAATGGGGGGAAAAAAATAAACTAAGGGCTGATAATTCAGGGGGGCTAATAATTTTGACTTGAACTGTATATATACATGCACAAAATAATTATGCATAGTGAATACACACATTATGCGAAGACAAAGATATATTTTTGGATACGATTAATCGTGATTAATTGCTTGAAAGCACTAAAGCTACTAAGAACCTGTTTTTGAGCTCACCGGAGAGTTTGATGCCCTCAGCAAGACCATAGGGCAGGTATGCAAAAATAATCATCATCCCAAACTCCAGAGACGGGGTCTTCCTCAGGTCGAAGTGTTTTAGGGACTGAATGCTCTTATTTAGGAAAATTTGCACAAAAATTTTGGGAATTAATCAAATTGTTAACATTCTAATCTCTACAGTAACTCTTGCTAATAACTGGTTGCTCATCTTCATGGAATGTTCCATATTTATTTAACCAACCAGTCTCGCTACAATCAAATCCGCTGTTTAGGATCTCAAAACAGGGCTTCTCGTGGTACTTCGAACTGTAAAGTCAAGTAAAGGAGGTCGAGCCTTCTCATTTATGGTTCCCAAACTCTGGAATAGCCTTCCTGATAATGTAGGAGGCTCACACACTCTTCCAATTCAAAGTCTCGATGATGTCCAGCTTCTCCAGCGCCTAGACTGCAACCGAAAAAGTTTGGCCATAGGAGAAATGGTCATGCCCAACTGAGTCTGGTTTCTCTCAAGGTTTTTTAATTCTTCACTTTTTCGCAATTGGTGAAGTTTTTCCCTCGCTGCTGTTGCCACTGGCTTGCATGGTTTGGGATCTGTAGGGCTGCGCATCGATGGTTTTGCTCTACAGTGGATGGACTCTCAGTATTGAATATTAAACCACACTGAACTGAGCTAAACTGAACTGAACTTAAACACTGAAAACTGAACTACACTGTTTCAATTTACTATATTATTCTATGTGAAGTTGCTTTGACACAATCTACATCATAAAACTGCTATAGAAATAAAGGTGAATTGAATATTTCTAAGAAAACATTGTGCATTTCTGAGTGTGTCCCATGGGTCATTGAGTTACACAAACCAACTGTAGGAGACACATTTCCCCCTTAAAAAAAAGAAAGAGCTAAACTAATTTAAACTTGTCATGGCATCTATACACGGCTGCTCTCTGTTGATTTGAAGTGCGTCTTTTATCTTCATTGTTGAGTCGCTTTGAATAAAATCTGCAAATTGAATAAATGTAAACATCATTGACTGTTTATTAGTATTTATAAAGCATATGCATGGCTTATAGTATTTCAGATTCTTTATTCCTACCCCATAAACAAGCTTTTTAATAATAAGCAGCAAATTATATGTTAAATGAGGCAAAGTAATTGTTAATAATAATAACAAATATATATATATATATATATATATATATATATATATATATATATATATATATATATATATATATATATATAATTAAATATATAAATATTATTATTATTTGCTATGGAAATAAGACCACTAGAAAATCCTCTTTTTTCTGTATTTACTGGTATGGTTAAATTATTAATGTTTTTTTTAATTCTATACAGGTTTGATCAAATTGTTTCCAAGTTTTAACTAAAAATATTCCGCAATAAATCAGCATAAAATGACCACTGGTCAAAATAACAAATGCTGTGGTTTGTTGTAATTGACAAATCAGGGTTATTACAGAAAATATTGTTCTGTTTTTTCAATTTTTTACTTTTTAAAAAACTATTTTCTAACTATTCCTATGCATATAAATGCATCTCTCTCAAATCTGTCATTTAAATTAAAATTTTCTATAGAAAGCTTTAAAATATTGTATTTGTGCATATAAAATAGTTACTGAAGCCAAATCTGAAGCTAAATATAAATTGATAACGGTTAAAATGAGTACTCAAATTTTTATGACACGGAAAAATATAAAATTTAAAATAATAAAGAGCTAATTTTTAAGAGAAACAAAAAGATTAGAAAATGTTGTAGTTTGTTTGTTTTTTGCATTATTTTGAATGAATTTAAATGCATTATCTTTCTATTTTTATACATGTTCTGTGATAATATTATTTTAATAAATATTTCCATTTGCACCAAAATATATATTTAATGGGAAATGGATAAAAAAATCATTAAGGTTGAGCCCTGTATAAACATAATTTTATTTATTTTATTTATATTTAATTTATTTATTTATTTTCTTTTTTTTTTTTTTACTCAGCCACATAACTACCTGTAATTAGATTGTAAATCCGAAGAAATTTTAAATCTTCAAGTGGACTATTAATTTTTTCCCCATTGCTTTAAGTAATAAAGTAATTACAAACACACGTTTAAATAACAGCATAAGGATACAATGGCAGAGATGAGGCCGGTGAGGGTGCCTAATGCAGCCGACCCGAAGAACATCTTCAGGAAGTATCCCAGCGCCTGCATGAAAGTTTCCCATCCTGTAGAGACGTCCGAGCCCCCGAAGCCCTCCGCTGTACTGAAAGACAAACAACATCAAGCACGGCTCACATCTGCAGACTCAATACAGACACTTCTTACCATTACAAAAATTCCATACGGTCAGCAGAGGGCAGCAGAATCACGTTCAGATCTCTACATACAAACACCATACTTTACATAACAGCTTCCACCACAAACTGAACATACTACACAGCCAATAATGTTAAAAAACAGACGGTCATACTTCAGCTGCTATATATAATACAGATTTAAAGGGAATGTTTACGTTAATATACTAACAACAAACTAATTACATGGAAAAAGTGATGATAATTCCACAATGGTACTGGAGTTACACAATTTATCATTTCAGCATCTTTATCGCAATATGATTAACAGCTTCTCAAGCAAACCGTCGAAGCCTCGGGAGGACATTTACATGTTATTATTAGATTTATGTGTTATTTTACCATGATAAATAAAATTGTTCAGCAGTAAACTATACTTTCTGACCTACAGGATGTGATGGACCACTTTTTATTTTTTGAAGTGAGGGCTTTATCTGGCTTTATTATTAGTTTGCTGATACACACCTAGCCATGACGGAGAACATACAGATGATTGCTATCTAGCAGTAATTAAATAATAAATAAGATGACAAAAAACTAATGTTAGCCCATCTTGACATCGATCTCCTGTAAGGTTATTTGAACTTGATTTAAAGGACGTCTCTGACATTTTGAGTTTCAGCATGATATTGAGTTAATCTACTGGATTTGCTGATATAATATATTAATGTTCTAGAAGCAGAATGGCTTTTTTATTCGAAAACAACCACTAAACAGTAAAATGGAGGTAAATTCTTATTTGCCAGATATCAAGACATAGAGTAAACCATGTGAAAACAGAGGCAAAAATGATAAACAATATGCAAGTGATGCTGCAGACCGTGACCCTCGTGGCATTCTGTGGAAGGTGCTCGGGGAGTATGGGGTCAGAGGCGCTCTGTAAAGATCCGTCTTGTTCCTGTGTGAACAAGGTAGGATTTTGGCAAGTCATATAAGTCAGACTTGTTTCCAGTGCATGTTGGACTCCGGCATGGCTTTCCTCTGTCACCAATTCTGTTCTGAATTTTTATGGACAAAATACCAACAACCTATTATAAGAGCAATATTTTTAACTAGACTTTAGGAAAGATTGTTCGTTTCTGCAGTCCAACAAATTGCGCTTTCATTAAATTACTGCAGCGTACATCACACAGTTTTTAAATTGTGTTTTATTAGATGTTTTTAAATGTAAGGGCTTATATTAATATTAGCGAGCTTTTGTTATAGTGAAGATACGGGCAGTCAAATGAGAAGTTGGGGGGCGTGGTTGATTTTGCGCATGCCCAGGCTCCAATTTCAGCAGTGTTTTGCGACAGTTTGTGCCTGTCATAATGCGTTTTGCAATTAAAGGGTTCAATGGGAAAAGGCGCTGTTGTGTCGTCCATATTTTTTTTTACAGTCATTGACTGCATCTTTAAGAATACCGAACGAATTCAGTAAATCCAGAAAAAAGGAGGATTTATCTCCACAGCTGTATATCATGCTACACAAATTTTATAGAGTCATTCTCATACAACATATCATCAAAGAGCTTAGAATGACCAAGAGGCGACACTCAATATTCGATTCAGTTACGATTATCATGCCTTCGATTCGGTTCAATTCGATATCTCGGTGCATCGACGATGCTTTCCATATACAGTGTTATATTTTAGGGGGGAGGCTATAACAAGCTGTCTGTATAAACACACAGAAACACAGTACCACACTGTCTCTCATTCAAACACATACACAAACATAGACAGCACCAAACAAATAAACAAACACACACACACACACACTTAAGCCCTCGCAACAGGGAGAGCTCGCGCCGAGCGGAGCAGAAAAACGAAAAAAAGAGAAAATAAGCACTTTTCTGACGGTCCCTTACTGAGAGCTCCTCTCAGCGCGAGCTCTCCCGGCTAAACACATATTGCGAGGGCTTAAACGGAGCAGTGCTCGTAATGTCCAGCGAAAAAAAAGAGACAGCTGTGAAACATAACCAGCTTTGTCTTTTTGTAGGAAACACACTTTAGATCTTTTTAGGGTAAGAGGTTTTTTGAGGTATTGCCGTCAATAACTGAATGTGTGTCAGGAATATGAAAACAAAACCAACTGAACCGCGCTCATTTCTGGCGCCCACCTGGATATACAGCGCCCTTAGCATTTGCCTATGGTGCCTATGCCACGGGCCGGCCCTGAGTTGCCTGAGTGTTGTAAATACTCGCGCTCACCTCCCTCGCGACAAAGCGCATAGGAGATAAATGACGTCAGTACATAATAACCGGTTGTGATTATTACTGAACCCATACCGAATTGTCCGCGTCTGCATCGCGGTGCACCGAAGAAACAATTCATTTTGACACCCCTATTCAATAGAACGTTTCATTGCAACAGCAGCGCCCAGCAACAGCTCCGAATTCCGCCATTTTGGAGTGAAAGCGATCAGCTGTCCATTGGATCTTATTGCTGTCGCAATGGCCAGCAGCTGCTTTGTTTTTTGTTTATTTATTTAAAAAGGCGCATTAAAGCTGAGATACAACCTGAAAGACGACTATATAACACTTACCATGACAATCATCAGCACTTTTAATAGTTTATTTTACAGACTGATAATATGCTGTGGTTCCATTGGAGTTTTCATTACAAAGAGGCAGCCGCGCCATCTAGTGGTGGTTTCCCAAATTGCACTAGAGTGTTGCCTCTTGGTAATTCTATGCTCTTAGACAGGCCCGGATTGGCTAATCGGGAGGACCGGGAGAATTCTGGTTGCTCTCAGCAGTCACACTTTTTAAATTAATTAATTTATTTACTTGACCACAGTCTTCTTATATATTATTTTACCGCAGCTCTGCTCTTTTTATCTATTTTCTCGCAGCCTCGTGAGCAAGATGCAGCCTGCAGGTTAATGATGATATAAGTCAGATGAGTCACCTCTCAAAGTACAGCTCTTGTGGTCCAGTGGTTGACACGTTAGGTTATGACACCTCCGACCTGGGTTTGATCCTCGTCTGAGTAATTAATTAATTTATTTTCATTTTTATTGTTAAGACGTATAATACTGCTAGGGTTGTTGAACATTTGAAGTTCAAAAGCAGCTGTTTTCTCAAAAAAAAAAAAAAAGACGTGACAGTGTAATTAGAAATGACCTTATTCTAATATAGTCAGTCGTGAACTGAGGTGGGCCGGTCTGAGGCTTGAAACTCCAGGGCTGAAAAGGAGCCCCACTCCGGCCCTGCTCTTAGATATCATACAATCTAGTCTATTGTAACTATTATGTTTTAAAAAATGTGTCAATACAATCTTCCCTCTGCTAAACATCACATGGAAAACATTTGGAAATTCCTTAAGATTTTACAATTTTGACTTCAGCTGTATCTACAGACCAGCTTTGAATGAGGAATCCATGTGTTACTAAGCTCACCACTCACCAACAAAAGAGCATCGGCCACACATCAATACAAGCTGTACTAGTCAAGAAGATCAACAAATGTTTTATCAGGTATAGAAGAGCTTCGCCCACGGGTGTAAAACTACACCCCGAGAGGAATTACTGCTTTCTAGGAAACACACAAACAGCTGATAACAGCAGCTCTGCAGACTCCTCAATTATAGATGAGATCATTTTACCAGCAAACACCCTGGAGACAGTCTGAATAAACACACACACACAATGACCACAGGACAGCCTCGAGAAGAAGCAGAGAGCAGATGAGATCAGAGGCGTGAGATATGAGAAGAGACTAAAGGCCTGTTCACAAGCATGATAAATATAAATATAATGATAAGTATATTTGCTTCTACACAGGCGAATGATAATGATCTGTTTATTTTTAGCTGATGCGCTTAATTGACCATTATCCCTTGTGAGCAGCAGGTGTCCTCAGTGTGCTGCTAGCACATCAGAACCAAGCGGCAACCTCCCGCTCTCCCTCAGGAAGCCAATACGGAAGTAACTAAAACTGCAATTCATCTGAAATTTCGCTAGTCCTGGCCGCTCCTGGCTCCATAATAGAGCAAATTTCAATTGAGCCCACTGTTAAAATGGCCAACTTTACAGCAGAAAAAAAGGTGTTTACAGTCTGGTACAAAAAAAGATTTTGGTTCATACAGCTAATATTATCCTTCATGACAACTGTGAGGGGGGTGAATTTTTTTTATAACTCATCCGTTTCCTTTATATTAAGTTATATTAAGTTTGCATAATTAAGGGAGTGGCCACTTGAGTGACAGCTTGGTCTCGTTGGTCGCCGTCACGTCACCTCAGCTGAATCCTGCAGATTAGCCACTGAACTCGGCATATTTATCATATTTCTGTGTTGTTTTATGTGGCTTTACACAGTCAAGTGCCTTTTGGACTTGTTTCCTACAATTATTAGATGGCATGGCATGCTGAGTGCACTTAATTGTGCTCACAAACCATTCACGTGGCCTCCGTTTCCCATGTGAGTAAAGTTATATACTTATATACCATCTCTATACATGTATTTGTTTTATTTAAGATCATTTATCGTTTATATTTATATTTAGAGCTGTAATGCACTCCAGAATCTGTCAGATTGATTAGCTGTAGGCTCTAGAACAGTCATCTGAAGCGTTGTCATACAGTGTTATGCTGGATTTCATCAATAGTCTTACATTAACTAACACAGACTGTATCTGAAGTGTTTGGAAGTAATTTGTGTTTTCCTCCTGTTGAAAAACGTCATAAGAACAATGTTTAGTGGCTCAATGTGTTACAGCAGTGTTTTTAAAAGTCTAAACACTTTATTGATATAGTGTACAACCAAGCACAAGTGGTCAGAACACAAACGAGTCACAGGTGATGAAGTATTAAGCGTTTCTCCCAAAGTAAAGTGTGTCTGAACCAGGTCCAAGCAAAATGCCAGCAGGTGTCTGTAGCTCCGCCCACTCTCCGCCTCTTTGCCCTTGTTTGGTATCCCGCCGTGGG